ATCGGCGGCCCTGGGCGTGAGGTTGGCACCGGAGAGCAGCCGCGCGCTGGAGCGGCTGTCTAGACCCGTGGTGCGGCCCGGCGGCCGAGACTGCTGGGGAAGCTGAGGCAGTGAGCCTTGGTCCTCGGGCCCCAAGGGTACCTACCCTGGGTGCAGGCGGCTCTGCCGCAGGCCTGGGCACAGGCCGGCAGCGCCACCCCACCCGCCCTCGGAGAGGACCCGAAGGTGCTGGAGGAGCGGTGTGGGGGGGAGCGACTTCCCACCCAGAGGCCACCCTGACTCGGCCCCCGGGCCGGAGCCTGAGCTCCCCTTTAACACCGGGGTGGCGGGAGACAAAGGCCACACCCTGCAGGGCAACTTCGTGCACCCCAGTGCCCATCTCCACCGGGACCCCAGAGCCTGAAGAGCCCGGCGGGGGGGTGCCCCAGGCCAGGCCGGGGCTCAGACGCGAGTCCTCCGGTGAGCCCCGTGTCCCCAAGTCGGGGGCAGTGGCCACCTGTGCGCAGGCCACAGCCCAGCACCGTCCCGCTGGAGGCCGCGCATCTGCGGCTGCCTTGTGCCCCCCGGCGGGTGGGCGTCCTTCCGGACCCGGCCGCCGCGAGCCTGGCGGCGCAGGGCACACATGGCAGGAGACCGGGGCCGCGGCGAGGCTGCTCCAGGAGCCCCTGCGCGTTTACCAGGAGTGCCGTCCAGCGGAGACGCGGCAGGTTAGGAAGGCAAGCCCGTCCTAGCGGTGCGCCTCCGGGACTGTCGCCTGGGGGTGGGTACGGCCGACCTCTGCCCAGACTCAAACCACGACTAGCTCCTTGGGAAATTCCATGGTCTCACATCCCAGTGGGTTTCCAAATAGTTTTTAGCAACTGTATACTTGCTCATTATCGTAGTGGCTGTTGTGCTAAAAGAAAAGTTTCCAAAACTGGAAAAAAGTGAGCGGTGTCTAAAGATCCTGTTACAGAGTAGCAGGTCCTCTCGGGGTGTCCCTGAGCCTGGGGCATGCTGTACTGAGGGCAGGGTTCTTCATGGGTAAGCTCAGGTGCCTACCGGGCCGCCGTGTGATTAGGGGCACGACTGTCCAGGAGAGACCGTCCACTGATAGCCAGGATGGGCTGTAATCCCACAAGATTGTAATCCTAGCATGATGGGAGGCCGAGGCAGGAGGATCACAAGTTGGAAGCCAGCCTGAGCAAGACCCTGTCTCAAAGTTAAATTTAATAAAAATCCATTTGGAGGTGGGTGGGGACGGGGCAGGAGGCGCTTGGGTGGAAATGGGGCTTTGAAGTTACTCAGATTCCTACTGTCACATCACACTCCTGGCTCTGGGGTGGCCTCTGGCACCCCAGCAGGACTCAGAAGGTCACGCCGGGGAGAGAGCAGCTGTGGGCTTCGGGAAGGGCCGCCTCGCGCTGTGAGGCTGACAGGGGCTGTGTGTGGAAGGACGCCTGGCGCTGCCCTGTCCTGGGATGCGGGCACAGCTCACATGCCCGGAACTGGGGCAGCAGCGTCGTGTGCCTGTGTCTGTCCCTAGGAACCCTTGAGGCCGGGCTCAGGGCAGCCCCGCAGCCAGGGTCCACACAGCTCTGTGGACCTGACAGGAGGCGCTGTTGCCTCTGCCTCGCTCAGTGCCCCTTTAACCCGAACTGTGGGCGGCTGGGCTGGGGGCTGGCAGCAGGGAATCTGACCGCGCTCTCCCGCCCGGGTGGGTGGCTCCTTGTCGGGGGCGGCACTGAGAGCGCGGCAGGCCCGTGCAGGTCTCAAGCGGCGGGCAGAGTGTGTGGCCGCGGGGACAGCACGGGCCCTGAGACACAGCGCAGTCGGGAAGGCGGGCAGGAGCCCTTCCCGCACCGGGACAAGGCCATCCGCAAACGCACACTGTGTGGACTCCGCTGGGCCGTGAGCAGGGGAACGCGGGGGACGGGGTGACAGGACGGGGAGGAGGCCGCTGTCCGCTCGGTCAGGAGAGCTGGCTCGGCCAGAGGCCGGACAGCAGAGAGCTGCCTGCGGGCCCTTCCGTCCGCAGCTTTGCGCAGGGCTTGGCAGGCCAGGTGACCGCGCTGAGAGCAGAGTAGGAGCGGGCTGCTGTGGGAATCGGGCCCCGCCTGCAGCCTGAGGGTCAGAGCTCCCTGCAGGCCGAGTTCAGCTGTGCCCAGCTTGTGCCCGTTCTGCCTGGGGATGGACGTGGCCCCGAGGGCGAATCAGAACCAGGAGTCGGAACAGAGCTGGCTGGCTTACTCCCCACAGGCCAGAGGCTCCTCGCACGCGGGGCTGCACTCCAGCGCGGACTTGGGACTGCTCACCCCAGCAGAGACTTTCTCAAGGACGTCCAAGGACTCTGCCCCTTCCTCTGCACTGGACTTTTTCTTTCGAGTTTTAATGAAATTCTTCCCTGTTCCTCTTCCATCCTTAATGTGGGATAGGCCTCAAACTCCACCTTAGGGACCAGTGACCCTGTTTATAGGCATTTGTGGCTCCTCCTGTCTGGGGGGAAGAATTTTTAAAATGAAAAGTAAGATAGTTCCCAGTTGTAAGAGCTGCTTTGGTTTTTAATAAGATGAAGTGGCCACACCTTTAGCACATTGGTGTGTTCTTAAGGCTCCAGCACAAGGGGTAGCGAAGAGCTATTACAAAGAGCTGTTAGGACAGACAGGAGCTTCTTGGTGAGGGGTCTGTCACTGCCCTGACCCCAAGGCCGTGCGGTAGGCTGGTGTGGGGGGGGTGGTCAGCGGTGCAGAGCGCCAGGACTCCGTAGACACCTGTCCCCTCCTGCGTTCCTGACATTCGCTCCCATTTTCAAATATTTTGAACAAGAAAACGCTAAAAAATGCTGAGAAACCATTGTTTGCCTGCCTATCTGAAACCTTCACAATCACTTGGGACACTTGTTTTATTTTATTTTATTTTATTTTTTGGTACCGGGAATTGAACTCGGCACCTTCCGCTTGCCAAGCAGGCTCTTGTGCCATTGAGCTATACCCCCGGCCGGGACACTTGTTTTAAAAAGTGACCAAAAATAAAAAATCTCCCAGGCCTCGAGGAGTGGCAGGGATGCCAGGGGAGGTGGCCGCCTGGGTGAGGGCCGGGTGCTGCGGAGTCACAAGTGTAACTGCCGTGTCTTCAGGAAAGGATGTGCATTTTCCAGCTCAGACTGGGAAAATGGGAGCGGTAGAGTGGGGGTGGACTCCGGACCCGCCGAGCTGAACAGAGGCCAGGAAGGTGAACTGGAGCCGGGTGACCAGGGTGGGTTCCGGGACGCCGGGGTCTCCCGGCTGCTGCCTGGGCGGGTGGCGCAGAAAGGACGGGCAGCGCAGCCGGTCTCTACCAAGGTCCCCGCCGCATTAAGTGCAGTCGAATTCCATTCCCCTCAGATGTGAAAGAACTTAGTGACGAGCGGCTACGAGCATTTACACAACCAGACTTCACACCTGGCATGATGGCCCCAAGCCCTAGTCCCAGCACTGGGGGGCTGAGGCAGGAGGGTTGCCTGTGAGTTCAAGGGCATCCTGCATTGCACAGCAAGAGGCTGTCTCAAAAAAAAAAAACCAGAAAAGGCTTTTACTTTGAGTAAAGTTGAGCCAAAGTGAGAGTTCAAAGTGAGAGTGTCGGGCCAGCGTGCGGTCCTCCCGCAGACGCTGCCCGTGTGGCTCCCAGGCTCCACTGCAGGGCTTTTCTGTAAACATCCTCACCGTCAAACGCCTGGCGTTCAGCCCCTTGCCAGCCCCGCACGGTGAGACCGCACCTCAAACACCCGCGACGCGAGAGGCCACAGGCAGGCCCCCTGCACGCAGGAGACGCTGGCGGGTCAGGACGGGCGTCCCACAGCACGCGTTCGCGGGGGCGGGCCGGGGGGCAGACCTGCTTGTGGGTCTGCGTGCGCCCTGCGCCCGGGTCCCTCAGCGCGCGGCTGATGGTCAGTTACGCTCTGCGATCGCAGCAGCGTCAGGCAGCGGTTGTGGGCGCCTCCCGCGGAGCCCGGCGGTGCTGCAGACTGGGCTGTGTGGACCCTCCCCCCCGGGCGTTGGGGGCTGTGTCTCCCTGTGTCTGGCCGGCAGCCTCCGTGGATGTTGGATGCATGGCTTGAGGAGCAGGGGTCCAGAGCCAGACCCAGGCCCCAGGTGCCCGTCCTCGTTCATCAGCCCAAAGAATGAGCCCAGCTCCCCCCACCCCCGTCACTCACCTTCTGCCCACAGTCCCCGGTGCTTCTCAGACTTAAATTACCTTGGGGGGCTCTTTGGGGGTGGAAAGTGAGACGGGAAGCATTTGCACTTGGCCTTGTGCTTTTTCTGCTCTTAAAGACTGCTTTGGAGGGTCGTACACAATTTGCAGTGTTTTGGCTGTCAGCTGGGTGTGGTAATGCCAGCACCTGGGAGGCTGAGGCAGCCTGAGCTACAAGGTGAGACCCTGTCTCAAGAGCACAGCAGTGTCTGCGGCTGTCAGCTGTGCGGGTGTGTGCCGGTGGTGACGCGCTGTTCTGTCTCCGCAGGTGGTCCGCAGGCAGCATGGGAGACTGGAGCGCCCTCGGGAAGCTCCTGGACAAGGTCCAGGCCTACTCCACGGCGGGGGGCAAGGTATGGCTGTCGGTGCTGTTCATCTTCCGCATCCTGCTGCTGGGCACCGCGGTGGAGTCGGCCTGGGGCGACGAGCAGTCGGCCTTCCGCTGCAACACGCAGCAGCCGGGCTGCGAGAACGTGTGCTATGACAAGTCCTTCCCCATCTCGCACGTGCGCTTCTGGGTGCTGCAGATCATCTTCGTGTCGGTGCCCACGCTGCTGTACCTGGCGCACGTCTTCTACGTGATGCGCAAGGAGGAGAAGCTGAACAAGAAGGAGGAGGAGCTCAAGGTGGCCCAGACGGACGGCGCCAACGTGGAGATGCACCTGAAGCAGATCGAGATCAAGAAGTTCAAGTACGGCATCGAGGAGCACGGCAAGGTGAAGATGCGCGGCGGCCTGCTGCGCACCTACATCATCAGCATCCTCTTCAAGTCCGTGTTCGAGGTGGCCTTCCTGCTCATCCAGTGGTACATCTACGGCTTCAGCCTCAGCGCCGTCTACACCTGCAAGCGCGACCCGTGTCCCCACCAGGTGGACTGCTTCCTGTCCCGCCCCACCGAGAAGACCATCTTCATCATCTTCATGCTGGTGGTGTCCCTGGTCTCGCTGGCCCTCAACATCATCGAGCTCTTCTACGTCTTCTTCAAGGGCGTCAAGGACCGCGTCAAGGGCAGGAGTGACCCCTACCACCCCTCCGGCGGCCCCCTGAGCCCCTCCAAGGACTGCGGCTCCCCCAAGTATGCCTACTTCAACGGCTGCTCCTCGCCCACCGCGCCGCTCTCCCCCATGTCCCCGCCCGGGTACAAGCTGGTGACCGGCGACAGGAACAACTCCTCCTGCCGCAACTACAACAAGCAGGCCAGCGAGCAGAACTGGGCCAACTACAGCGCAGAGCAGAACCGCATGGGCCAGGCCGGCAGCACCATCTCCAACTCCCACGCCCAGCCCTTCGACTTCCCCGACGACACCCAGAATTCCAAGAAGATCTCGGCGGGACACGAACTCCAGCCCTTGGCCGTGGTGGATCAGCGGCCGTCCAGCCGGGCCAGCAGCCGGGCCAGCAGCAGACCCCGGCCCGATGACCTGGAGATCTAGTCCCCGCCTGTGAGTGGCGAGGTCCACTCAGTGGTGGTGAAGAAGCGGGTGCTGGGGGGGAGGCACCTGGGTTCTTCTGTTCCAGCGAGGTGGTACTCAGCGGCCCTCCCAGGGGCCTGGGACACAGACTGACGTAGCATTGTAGGTTCTCTTGGGCATGGGACAGGCGGGCGGGCGGGCGGGAGGGGCGGGGAGGAGGTACATGCTGGTATTCACGTAGTGGGTTCCCAGAACTCTGGCTGTCCTCAGAGTTGCGTAGGTGAGACGTAGGTAAGGGCTTTTCTCCCCCACACACCCCGAGCGCCTGTGTGTGTGAGCGGGTGGCTGATGGTTGTGGCTGAATATGTTTCTTTAGTTTTTGTTTTACCAAGAAACTGAAATACCTTTGGCCAGGAATAAACACTTCCTGAACACCTTACTTCTTTCCCACAAGAGAAAGACGAACGATTGTGCTCGTGTCTCCTCTGAAACATTCCATTGCTGTGTGCGCACTTTGGAGGGCGCTGTACGGCCGCCCCTGCAGGAGTCCGAGGACCTGCGTGGCTCCGTTGTTTTTTATTACTATTATTATTATTATTGTTGATGTCAATTAAAAGTTCAGACAAGGCCCACAGAGAAAGATCTGCGGCTCAGTCCGAGCCTGCTGCGTGCCCCCTCGTGCCCGGTCTGCCCACTGCACCGAGCGGCTCTGTGCTTGGACTCACTCAGGCGTCACTTCACGTGTGTCCGAGTCCATGTCAGGGAAACAAGCCATGCCTGGTATTTAACAATCACGTGTGTGTGCGTGCGCGCGCGTGTGTGTGTGTGCGTGTGTTTTATTTGTCATGTATTGGTACAAAAGGTGCAGCACAGATTCACAAACACAGATCTGAAAATAATGCACACGGGCGTCTGACCTGAACCTTCTTGGTGGGTTTTGGGGTGTGGGCCACTGGTGTTTACATTGTAAGATCCCTGCTGTGCGACCAAGCACACTTCTCCTGAAATGTTTTCCCTGTGTATCCTATTGTGGATGCTGGTTCTGTTGATTACAATTCTTTTCTTTCTTTCTTTTTTTTTTTTTTCTTTTTAGAATGTAGCAGTAATGCTATTACCGAAATGAATGATTTCCTTTTTTCTGAAATATAATCATTGATGCTTGAATGATAGGATTTTAGTACTGTAAACAGGCTTTAGTCATTAACGTGAGAGGAACGCTTAGAGAGAACTCTCATTCACTGTGCCTACGTGGATTCGCAGTAGCTGGTGTTTGCGGCTGTAGCCTACTTATCACACGAGTGCAGAAGGAGTCTTCTGTTTGGAGTCTGACAGTCTTGGGTGGGCAGCGACTTCGATGTTTGCACTAAGACTTACTTGGGATCGAGGAGAAGCTGAATCACGTTTCAGGAGTGCTCATGGAACTAATTTATTGACCTGTATCCTAAAGACATCAACCAGTTTTTTCAAGTGCCTTTTCAAAACTTGTCACGAGTGAATGGTGGCAATCTGACGCCTCCACTTTCCTCTTGCACATCACCTGCACAGAACAGTTTGGGACAACGGGAAGTACTAATGTGTTGACATTCCATGTTAAACCACTGCCGTGTTCAGCTTCGCTGCCTGTAACGTAGACCTGGTCCATCAGATTGTGTGTTCTGGAGTGTTCTTTATTCAATAAAGTTTTAATTTAGTAGAAATGCTGTCTATGTATTCTGTGTGACTTTTCCATCTTACCTGTTGTGTCTATTAAAGATTATCAAAGATATTTCCATGGGTTATACAGACTTGAGTAAATTTACATTTTAAGGGATATTTTGGGGGGAGGTTTGAAATGATTTTGGGGGGATTTTTCGAAGTGGACCTTAAACTTGCTATGTAACCTAGGTTGGCCTCAAACTCAAATTCCTCCTGTCTCAGCCTCCTGAGTGGTAGGATTATAGGTATACACTATCATCCCTGGCTTTACAGATCTTTAAAAGGATAGTATTAAGTGTTAGGTATGCTGATAATAAGCACTTTTGGATATCTATTCAAGAGACAAGATAGAGCACATCAGTGTTGAACTGGGGGTGCAACTTTTCCTGCAGCATTGAGGATTGAACCCCAGGCCTCCTGACACTGAGCTATGCCCCAGCAGGTGTCCCGCTTTGCTGAGGACCCTGTGATCAGGTTGGAAATAGGGTAGCACTGACGGACATAGGAGAGCGAGTGAGATAAAGCCCCAGTCTGAGGATGCTCAGTCACAGGACTGCAGAGGGAAAGACTGAAAATGCTGAAATTGAAAACCAGACATTCAGCTGTGACAGAGTAACTCCAGGCCGTCAACAGTGTGCTTGTCCTTTTGAAGGCGAGAGGTGCTCAGAGTGCCCAGTCACCTCAAAGAAGTTTCTGACAGGACCGCGCGGCACCCAGCGGGTCATCGGTGGGGTCCAGCGGGTGAGCCTCCAGATAAGCGGGTGGTGAGATTTCGCCCAGGACTGACGTGTGCCTTCGTCCCCGGCCGCTTGCTTGGCTGTGTTTTTGGTCCTTGAGATAGGCTTGCCCCGGGGCTGGGGCTGACCTTGGATGCATGGGGATGGCTCATGTCCCGCCCCGCGGGCTGCCTTGGCCGCTGCCCCCCCCCCCGCCCCCGTGGGTTAGGGGAGCGGCTGTCAGTCGGCTGACTGGTGTGTGTGAGCTCCCGCTGCAGAGCCTGGCGCCTGGCGCTGGTTCTGGTGGCCACACAGCACCGCAGCCGTGGACAGCCGTGGGCAGCCGTGGGCACACGTGGCCCCACAGCCTGTGCTGAGACCACGCAGCACCCTTGTCTGTGCCATGCAGGACGGCGCCGCCCCAGGCTCTGGGAAAGTTTACTGCTTTTTGGTTTCTTTCCTTGACGTTAGTGACTGCTGGAAAAACAGGACAACCTCAGGGTCCTTTCGGTCCTATAATTTTAACAGAATTTCTTGTTTTGTGAGTAGTAGAAATTCTTATTTTAAGAAAACTTTTACCTTTATGTGAGATTCCCTATGTTTTGGTTGGACAATCTATGTGACCATTGTTTTAATTCAGAATTTTATACAAAATTTTCAGCTTACTTTCAAAAGTGTCAGAATTGTCTATTTTTTCAATTTTTATTTATTTATTTGTTTATTTTTATTTATTTTTTGAGACAGGGTCACACTATGTAGTACCAGCTGGCCCTGAACTCACTGTGGCCCAGGCTGGCCTTGAACTCATGGCATCCTCCTGCCTCAGCCTCTTGGGCACATAGCTAGTTCCGTGGGGCCACATTTGCCATACCCACAGCCCCCAGCTGGCTCTGCCTCCCAGGCTGGGCAAACGGCCGGGCCTGGAGCGGTCTGCTCTGGGGTCTTCAGAGGGAGGAGCGGGCAGTGTGCCATGCAGGACAGGCGAGGGAAGCCCCAGAGGACAGTGACCTCCTGTCCCAACCTCAAAGCCTGAGCCTCGGAGGCCGGGGTCTTTTCCAGTTCCCTGATGATTCCAAGTGCCAGGTTCCCTGATGATTCCAAGTGCCAGGTTCGCCCACCCCACTGGGTGAACTGGCCAAGCATCCCGAGTTTCTGTGTGGGGACCGGGCGGGGTGCTGGGGAAGGAACCCCGGCCTCCGCACAGGGTTTCGCCCCCGCCCCTTTGTGTTTTATCCTGAGACAGGTCTTGCTAAGTGACTTGCTCAGGCTGGGCTAGAATTTGAACCCTCCTGTCTCAGCCTCCCAGAGCACTGGGATTAGCTGGTTAAGCCCAACTCTTCATGCTTTGAGCCATTGGGTGGGACGCCAAGGGGCCTGTCTGCTCCTGAGGCTCTGCGTGGCTGGGTCTGGTCAGTTGTGCAACTGCTCAGTTCCTAAGAACTATTAGAAATAATTAGATAGTAAGTTTTTAGTTGCTATGGTAATAGAAATCGTAAGGAGTATGGAGTATGTGGCTGCACACCCAGCACTTGGTGGCTGAGACAGGAGGACCCGTGAATTGAAGGCCAGCATGGACTACATACTGAAACCTGGTCTCCAGCATCCCCTCGAAAGAAAAACTCATAAAAAACAGAAGTGAAAAGCTAGACATGGTAGCATATAGATGTAATTCTAGCATCTGGGAGGCTGAGGCAGGAAGATTGCAAAGTGCAGGCTCACCTAGGATACACTAGTAAGATTCTGGCAAAGAAAACCAAAAATAAGATAAAGAGAAATGTCAGACTGCACTGTGTGCAGAACTCAGGTGGGGTTACCCATTTCGGATTCTCAGAAATGTTGATGACCCTGAGGCTAGGGAACTGAAATGTACTTATTTGTTTACTTTTGGTGTTTTCAGCCAGTCTCCCCATGTAGCCCAGGCTGGCCTTGAAGCCACAGCGGTCCTCCTGCCTCAGCCTCCCAAGTACCAGGATTACCCGCGTGGGTGCCACCACCACACCTGGCTAAGTTTTCCTATTTTTGGCCCCGCTTGCTCCTGAGGGCTTTTTGGGGGCGAGCGAATGAGCATCTCTCAGGGGTACGATCTTGCTGTCATGAATCGCATACTTCAAAGGTGCCGAGGCGGTTTGGGAGTTAAATGTGGGAACAGAGCACCCCGTGGGCTTTAACTCCAGCTACAAGCTGTAACACGGTTTACCTGCGATGCACGCTCTGCAGAAGGAAGTCCCCGGCAGCGTGTCCCTGCCGTGCCCCCCGCCGTGCCCTCCCCCGCCGTGCCCCCCGCAGTGCCTCTGTCCTCCCCACTCCAGCGCTCTAGGTTAGACTGTGCAGCTTCGTGGCCTACCAGACTACCTGAGCCTTCTCCAGCCGCGCTCCTCTGAGCTGTGACGCCAGCCCGCGGGTGGGGCGGGCCGGTGGTCCACGAGGGTGACCAGGGCCACCGTGTGGGACGGGACGGGCTGGGCCGGGGTGCGGGGCCAGGCAGGGAGGTCGTGGCCGTGGCTGTCGCAGTAGAGGCCCACGGTCTCTCCGGGAATCAGCCAGCAGGGATTCAGCGTCCATGGTCAGTCTGCCGCGGGCGGGAGGACGGCCCGGGGACGCGGGGAGGCCGCTGGGCCTCCGGGCCTCGCCTTCCTGCTCGCGGGATCCGCTTGCCCTAGCCGGCCGGGCGAGAACCCCGGAGGAGCGCGGAGGCCCGAGAGCCGGGGCTTCTGCGGTTTCCAGCGCAGACTGCTGCTGGAAAGGTGCTCGCAAAGCTCGAAGGTCAGGGAGGCCGTGCTGGGCGGCGGCCCGCACTCAGGAGGCTGAGGCAGGAGGGCGACTTCGCGGCCGGCCAGGCTGCGTGGAGGCTCAAGGTGGCCAGGACAGACAGCCGGCACAGACAGACACACTGACACTGACAGACGCAGTCCTGGGTGGACGAGTGTTCCACGCAGATGATGTGCCCGGAAGAGACGTGCCAGCACGGGGTGTGGAGGAGCCGCCCAGCGGAGCACGCCGTCTTTCTCAGCGAAGCAAGCGCCCCCAGGGCCCCACCTGGAACGCAGCGCTCGGGCGCCACGCGGGGCCGGGACTGCTGCGGCTCCGCGGGGACAGCGAGCGCGCACTCCGGCCTGGCTCCGGTGCGAGGCGCTGCCTTCGCGTGTGGGGCGCTGGGCTGGGAAGGGGAGCGGCGCCTCCCACCTCCTCCCGGCTTGCGGTCCCGAACACCAAGCAGGATCTCGGGGTCTCCCGGGGAAGCTCTGCGACCCCGCTGCTGCTTGGCGCTGGGTTTGGGCCCAGGGCCTCCACACTTAGCGGACGCCTCCGCTCCCCCATCTCTCCCTCTCTCCCTCTCTCCCTCCCTCTCATTTTTTATATTTTCAGAAAGGGTCTCATTAAATTGCTGAGTGCCCAGGCTGGGCTTGAAATTACAACCCTTCTGCCTCAGCCTCCCATGTGCTGGGATGTCTGGCAGTGGTCACCAAGCTGGGCTTTGGTCTTGGAATTTCTGCAGCTGGCGGAAGCCGGGGAGCTGCGCTGGCCACCTGGGGAGTGTCTGCCGTTCATTCATTCACTGTGCGCCCGGCGGAGCAGGATCTGTAGCCCTGGGCCTCGGCCCTCAGCGGGTGCCGCGCTTGAAACTCCTTTGAACCGGGCTGCGTGGGAGGAGAGGAGGCGAGGCCACAGCCCGGCATGGAGGAGCCTGGGTAAACCGAGACCCGGGTATGGGATTTGATGAATGAAAGTCAGCCCAAGTGCAGAACAGACCCCCTGGGAGGCTGAGGCAGGGGGACTTCTTGAGGCTAAGAGTTCAACACCAGCTGGGCCACACAGGGAGATCCCATCTCTAAAACTAGCTACCTAGCTAGCTAACCAGCTTCCCAACTAGCTAACCAGCTCACGAGCTGACTGAGTGTGACTTGTCTCGGAGCACAGCAACGGCGTGTACAGCGGGGTCGGGGGACAGACAGCATCCACGGCCTGCCTCCCGGGGACCCAGAGCCCCGGGACCCTGCTCCTCCTCCCTCGAGTTCTTTCTCTTGCTCCAGTTCCTTCCTTCTCTTTTCTTTTTCCCTTTCATTCGCTCTCTTCCACTTTCCTCTCTCCTCCTGCTCTTTATTTATTTATGTTTATTTTTCAGTTTGTTGAGCCAGGGTCTTGCTGTGTACTCTGCCTGGCCTTTGAACTCAAGGTGATCCTCCTGACTCAGCCTCCTGAGTGCTGGGATCACAGGTGTGCGCCACCACGCCCGGTGCCTTCTACTCCTCTAATTATAAAAGCATCTAGCAGCAGACACAAACTCT